TAGTAGACAAAGTATACAGAATGAAGAATAACAGACAAGAAACGATAACACGACAAAAGAACAAGTAAGATATAAGGATGGGTTCAGGCGGGACCTCTAGGGGGGAGTGGGTACCTCTTTAGGTACATAGTGCTAGGTGATACTGGACGAGTTCGCTGGGTGACGGGTTACTTTGAACTGGCCGTCAGAGTGGGCTGCATAGCTATAATGAGAAAAAAAATAGAACAAAGAGTGTATAGGCCCTCGAGGAAAGGCGAGCAAGCTGGTAGGTGACTTCGACGGGGGGCCACGGGGTGGGCAGACGGAAGACGGGAGACGGGGAAATGTTGACGTGGAGGGGGGCGGATGCTGATGGGCATGGGAATGAGAAGGGGGAAAAGCCAGAAGCGAGAACGAGGGGGGACACTGCAAAGCCTCGCACGCGCTAGGCACCTCACCAGGGCCACCTGGAGGAGGGAGGTAGGCAGGTACCTGGAGACGGTGGGAGAGACGGGCACACACACCACTAACACACCCTCGAGTAGGTACACACACATACACTGAGATAGAGGGGCCGAGAGAGAGCGAGAGTAGAGAAAGAGAGGGTCGAGGGATCAACGAGGTTTTCTAGGTAGCCCTGCCGCTGTGTCTGTGATTGGACAGGGGGACGAGCCCTGCACAGTGTCGCCCCACCCAGACCTTTTCCTCCCCTGCCCCCGCTCGACGCCCCAAAATTCATCCCAAGCCTCAAGGAGTCAAGCCTGACCCGCTGAGACGGGCCCCAAAGAGGAATGGTATGTCTTTTCCCACAGCTCTTGGCTGGGCTTGATGAGGAGGGCGGGAAGCATTCGAGTCTGCCATGTACCGCTTTGTCACTCGAGACCGCTGCCACAGTCAGTAGGAAATGGCACCTTGCCCCAACGGTCCAAGTCATCCATGTTCACACGAATACCGCACCTCTTTTGGACTGACGGAACAGACTTTAGCATGGCAGACCCAGTACCATCGAAAACCGACTACCGGACGCCATCTGCCATGCCAGCGTAACACGGACTGAAGAAAGCATCATCACATCCCAAGGATCCAAGGCGTTGCGGCGATGGGCCGCAATGTGGCGCACGACAGGTCGCGAGGTAAGTCATGGCGCCTTGTTCAGTACCTACCTAGGCAGGTAGGTACCTTACGTACGTAGTCGTTAGAAGCGGTGTTGGTCATGCTCCAAAAGAAACGCAGTCACACGCCATGCGTCTATGTGGGCGTGTGAGGTGGGCTGAGGACAGGAAGTGACAAGACTCGACCAACACATTACGACCTTGCCAGTGCATGTTTTAGGGGGCTTGGGGGGCAAGGGAAGGCCGTGAGGTGTGACAGGAACGCCTCGCCCCAGAACCTGTTCGTGCCATTTGGAGACGACATGTCAGTTGGTGAGTATTTTGGCCTGAAATGTTAGGCGGGCGACCTATCTCCTCGTCCCGCCTACCACCACCACCCACCCCTCTGATTGCACCGTGACTTTAGATGCCATGGACACTGTCCATACCGTCCATCTCGTCGCCAATCATGCTATGTCCACCCATCCTTCTGAGGGCTGGTGAGGGGTGGCCCGCGCGCTTCCTCTCGCACCCTCTCTCCCCCCCCCTCTCTCTCTCTCTCTCTCTTCCTCTCGTCTCCAACTACCTGTCTCCCTTTCAATTGAATTTCAGGTGTCTCGCAGGCGGGCTGGGCGACCTAGTCAGATTCCCGAGACGCGCAATTCCCACGACGTGGTACCCGATCTCTCGCTGGGCTGAATGTCTCAAATGCACCCATGATTCGTGATCACCTAGGCAGATGCCATGAAACATGGTTCGGATTACTCGGTCGGGCACAGCGACCTGGTTTTTGCACCGACCAGCAAAGAATGCTGCGCAAGGTTGAAGGTGGTAAACCGGCGAGGCTCCTTCTCTCGGTCTCTCTCTCTGTGTGTGTGTGTGTGTGACCTTTACTCGGCACCAAACACAGCAAACTGTCGGCCAACGGCGCACGATGTGGGGCAAAAGCGTAAACCGTAATAAGGTACGCAGTGCGTAGGGCCCGCCGCCTGAAAGGTGCACTCATACCATGTGCATTTTCCCTCGAGTCTGATAGTCTGGAGGCAGGCAAAGAACAGCGGATGAGTGCCGTTCTTCCAACCCAAGACTCACAGTGCGGAGTCCTCCGCCTCATCCCCCCTGCCTCTCCTCGTCCTCCTGCACACACGCTCACGGTGCGCCGGCATCTGAGAGGGGAAGGCCCTGGCCAGCAAGTGGAGAGTCGCGGAGTTTGCGGGGGAAGAGGTCCACATCCGAGGTACCGCTGAAGTACACAGTATCGCGCTACCGTAAAGACCCGGTGCATCGGTTCCTGCCCCCTTGACCGACCCCGTGGGCTGGGCTCATACGCTGCCACTAACCACTCTGCTCAGTGCCTGTTTCCCTTGTCTTCGTCTTCGTCTTCGTCTCTGCCCACCGCTGATTTGATGGGCGTGGCGATCAGGGTCGACCAGGGGCTGCCATGAACTGGTCTCTGCCATGCATGCCTGCCTACCTGCCTGCCTGCCCGCCTGCCTGCCCGCCTACCGGAGTCATTTCATTCAGACCATCACGACAGTGCTTCCCGCTGTGATGAGACGAGACTCAGACGAGACAAGCAGGCGGCGTTCTTGGCTTGCTCTTGTCTCGCCAGTGCTCGTGGCGGGCGTAGCCATGTTCCGAGGTTGGATCCCGGCTGGCAAGGCTCGTACATCGGTTCGAGGCATTCTTTTCTTTCCTTGCCATCACTCACTCTCTCGTGTGAATCAGTTCATCGAGCACGCGCGCACAGATTGCTGGTCGTCCTTTTTTCTTCCTTCTCGAAACAAGCTGACGTTGGCTGGTACGCCATGTCATGTACATGTGTGCAGTCTTTCCTTGCCTCACTGTTTTACCCAAGTATCTATGCTTATGTAGGTACCTACCTACCTGAGGTACCTACCTACCTGAGGTACCTACCTACCTGAGGTAAGGTGACGTGAGGTAGACGTGTGTGGTATAGCACCCCAGGCCTAAGGGCAAAGCAATGTACCGACGCCGACTAGGTTCTCGTCCCTGGACCGCCTCCTTTGCGTGCCCTCGGCGAACACGTAACACAACGAACGACATCCTGGACGGCCGCCCGTGAGCGTCATGCCATACTTACCTTAGGTAGGTACTCAGGACCACCTGTCTTCTCTTCTTCCCTTCCTCCTCCCAGCCTTGATTCGCCCTGTCTAACCCTCGCCCATGCAGTTCGGCATGCCGGAATCCCAGCACCACAACTCGCCGCAAATCATCTGCTCGCCGCTACACAGGGGTGCCTCTGCCTCTAACAACGCCCGACACTAGAACGAAGCAGTAGCCGCAACAGCCACATCAGCCAGGCAATGTCCGCAAGGCAGGCGGGTGGGCACTCAGGCAAGGCAAGCAGGCGGGTGGACAGACCATCAGACAAGCTAAAAAAAAAACAAGCTGTTTCGGTAAGGAACCAGTCCAGCCCAGCCCGCCTACCTGCCGTGCCTACCTGTGCCAGGACCTGATGGACGCCCCCGGCATGGCCAGGTAAGTGGTCGGGGTACAACGGCCGTCTGTGAGGGGTGACTCTGGCAGGAGAGTTATGCGTTGAGCCGGACTACACTCATCAGCCCTGTCGGTCAGAGCTCTGCGCCTCGTTTGTCTTGACCTCTTTTCCTGGCGCGCGCCACCAAATGGCCCCTCGTCCTGTCTCTCGTAGGAACAAGCAGCCAAGACCACGAGCACGCGCCGCCCGCCTGTTGAGAGATTTGGTGGTCATTCGTGAGAATAAGGGATGCAGGCCAAGAAGGCTTGCGACGTAGAGAGAGCAGACCTTTCGCCACCTCTTGGCCTTTCTCGAGGCGTTGCTTCGGCGGCACAGGCGCGGCCGTGTAGATTGCTTCCTCTTTCTGGGTCCCTCTATCAGATTAACGACAGTGCTGGCCTTGATGATCCCAAAGATCGTGTTCGGCCCCGTTAGAACTTGGAGCTTATGTCCCAGGAGGGAAGCGCAAAGCTAAGCACGACCTGTCATTGGCAACACATTTTTTGGGTTGGGATCATGCTGCTTCACTGCATTTGTGGAACCGGACTGACGATGGGGATCGTGCGGGCTGGCTGCGCATGTGATCTCGTCGTGCTTTGCAGAGCGGTCACCAGCCTCGATCTCACAGGCTAGTGAGTGGTATCAGAGGTGTGGTTCCCGAATCCCGAAGTCGAAGAGCAATCCAGACCTGTGCTCTGAGATGCAATTTCGATGCGGCATGGCCCAGTAGCGTCTCCAATTTTGTCGGTCTCTCTGATGGGGGTTTGTAGACTTTCTGCCCAGCATTTGTCGTTCACCAACACTTGTTCGCCTCTGGAGTCCCCCAAGGTGGCAACTTGAGTCAAAGACGTCCGAGGCAGGTCAGAATCATGAATAGTGTCTCCGATACCGGTCTGGGCCATGATTGATGTCATCCAAGCTCAGCAAGTCGAATTAGGTCGAGGAAGCTCACGCAGCCAAACTCGTGACTTCGAAAGCTTGTCCTCTAGACATACATGTGCGCCGAAAAATGATCACGTGAGGAATTTCCATGGCTCAAGCTGAACGAGACCTGCCTGCCTGCATGTGTCAGCCTGGACTGACCCAGGTGAGTCAGCGTATCCTAAATATCCTGGGTTCATTGACGACTCCGACATGGAGATTGAGGCAAAGAGTACGTTGGTCGATCACGAGGGGGGCTCTGCTGAGCCTCGGCCCTGGGCCCACTTGGCCGCAGCGCTTCCGGCTCTCCAGTCGACGCGGCCGAGGGCCTTCGCTTACCAACCCGACTGGCCTTGCCTTGCATCAGTGGCGAGGCCCAGAACAACTAGAACCCAACTTGAATAGCATTGTTCCTTGGGAGCCGTGGTGGTGGACTCGTGGGCTAGCAACGATCACGGCGCATGACAGCGACATGAGCGTCGGGCCGTGACACGGAACAAATTCACAGACATACTGTCAACCATACGATTATCAAAAAAAAAAGAATTGAAAGTTGAAAGCCTTGGAAATTTGGTGGTCTGGGCATCCAAAGACAACACCACGTACGTATCTATCAATACAATGCAACACGAGCTGCTTATAAGCCCGCGTTGTTGCGCCACCGAGTATTTCTCCTCTCCATTCTACTCAGTCACAGGTATCTTGTCGCTTCGTCTTGCCTCCGCCCCTTGATCATATATCATTGCACCGTGTTTCGTCTCCTTTACAGCTCCAGCGTTGGCTCAACGCCCTTGACACGGCCAATAACCTGCTCCGGCGCGTACTTGGGGATGACCTCGTCGTCGTGCAGCATCTCAAACTCCTCAGTAGCGTCACGGCCCATGAAGTTCATGATGGCCTGGGGGCCACCGGGGTGCTCCTCGAGCCAGTTGGACAGGTCCATGACGACACCCTTGACGACGACCCAAAGATCATCCTTGGTGTTGTGCTTAGCAATCTCCTCCATGGTGAACTCCTTTTCGGGAATAGAGAACTCCTTGGACTTACCAGCCTTTTGGGCGTCGCCGGTAGGAGAAGGGCCAGCGGCGGCGGTAGTCTGCTGCTGGGGGACGTCGCCCGAGGAGCCAGAGACGCCACCGTTCGCCCACTCAACCGTCACGCGGCCAGGCTGAGAGGGGTCAAGGTGCAGGGAGATCTGGCCCATACGAGCAGAGGCGCCAGTGGCACCGGTAAGGGCCTTCTGGAAGAGGTAGTTGCTGGCGGTGTCGCCGGCAACACGGCCGTAGACTACACAGCCCAAAAGGGAGGATCCACCGAGACGGTTGGCACCGTGGACACCACCGGCAAGCTCACCACAGGCGAACAGACCATCGAAGGGCTTCTGCTCCTGGTTGAGGACCTGAGCCTTGTCGTTGATCTCGATACCGCCCATGGTGAAGTGAAGCACGGGCTCCATGACAGCGACGTGGAAGTCATCATTGATGTCAACGGGCAGGTTGTGGAAGAACTTCTTGCCCCAAGGGTCCTTCTGCTTGCCATCCGCAATGGCGTTGTAGGTCTGGAAGGTCTTCTGGAGGTGCTCAGGCTTGCAGCCGATCTCCTTGGCCAGCTCCTCGCCAGTCATCTTCTTCATCAGACCACGGCCAGAGTAGTGGCGGGTGTGGAAGTCAAGAGTGTTGGAGGCCTTGGAGTTGAGGATGAGGCGGATGGGGAACTTGTTCTTCTCCTTCTCCTTCCACATCATGCCGGAGACGTAGTCACGGTGACCGAGCTCATCGCAGAAACGGTCGCCGTCAGCGTTGAGCAGCAGGCCACCCTCACCACGCAGAGCCTCGGCAGCGAGGAACTTCCACTTGGAGCCAGGGTCCTTGGGATCGACGAGACCGGTGGGGTGAACCTGAACCTTGTCCATGTCGATGCCGTTGCCGCCAATAGCCATGACCATCTTCTGGCCGTCACCAGTGGCGTGGGAGCCGTTGGTGGTAGCGAGGCCGAAGGTGTCTGGCCTGTGCTGCTTCAGCAGCGATGAATCGGTGAAATCGGCAGCATAACCACCGGTAGCCAGGACGACGGGGCCATCGAGGTCCTGCTCCTCGCCGTTGTGCTCGTACTTCACACCGGTGATGGTGTTGCCGTCCTTGTTAAGGCTGACGACGCGGGCCTTCTTGATGATTTGAACGCGAGTGGGCTCGGTCTCGGCGAGCTCCTCGAGCCTCTGCATCAGGGCGTAAGTGATGGCCATGCCGGGGAACTTGGCATCGTGGCCACGGTGGGTTCGGGGCTGGGAGTGGCCACTGCGAGGGGCGTTCAGTATGTACATAGCATCGAGAGCTCTGGCTTTGATGATCACTTACCCGAGACGGGAGACGAGAGTGAGATCGAGGTTGAAAACATCCTGGAGCCACTCAACGGCAGCAGCGGACTTGTAGGTGAGGACCTTGATGAGGTCGGGACGAGCCTTATCACGAGCGGACTTGAGGGTGTCGTCGTAGAACTGCTTGACGCTGTCGGCGACGCCGGCATCGACCTGTGTCCTCGTCAAAGCACCGTTGATGCCGGAAGTGGCCTTTGTGGAGTTGCCTCCGAAGAAGCCTGGGCCGAGTGGCGTTAGTGTGGGTTCTGAACACATGGGTCATCACAAGTGAGAGAGAGGTCAACTCACCCTGCTTGTCGAGAACGACAACATTGCCGCCAGCGAGGTAGATGGTGTGCGCCGCACTCAGGCCGGACACTGGGAAGCACGTCAGTTAGGCGTTGATTCATGCAGGAACACGTGAAACCGCAGCCGCCGGCGATGACGACAAGGGCCATGGCGCGGGGGGAAGATTTCTGTCCTGCCAAATGGGCGTGGGGAGCAACTTACGACCACCGCCGACAACGATAACGCTGGGGGCCATGTTGACTGATGTGTGTGGAAGTGAAGATGGGGAGGGAGAGTCGGAAGAGGAATGGGATGGAAGGAGTTCGAGGGGAGGAAGAAATCAAGAGGAGGATGAAAGGTATGGGAGGGGAGGTTTATGAGGAGCTGGAAGCGACAATGGGGGAATGCTGTCGCAGTCGCTGCGCCGAGGACTAAATGCTGAGGAGCCGGCGCTCGGGCTGGACGCAGCTGCTGCTGACGGTGTCGGTGCTGGGGCGACGATTCGTGAGCCGAGGTCGACTGGGGCTGCTTGCAGGGGGACGCCTTTCGGGCCTCTGGGGCCTTTTTGGGGGGCGCGGTTTGGCGCTTGAGGGGGGAAAGGAGGGGCGGTCGGGGCGTCTGGGGCACCTGCCGATTGCCGGTTCCAGTTAAACTCGGCCTAGCTAGCCAATCCCTCACAATACAATGGTCATGGATATGTGGCGAATGGGATGGAGGGGACCTCGTGAATGAGCCGAAGCCTGACAGGACTAGTTGGGAGTATCGGGAAGCTGTTTGGAAAGATACTCTTGCGCGCCTTTGTTGCTCAGTCCGGTCATGCCGCTGGTGAACCCCAAATTTGAATGGGTTGACCCTTTTTAAAGCCAGCATGAACCACTGGAGCCTCTACGCCAGGGACCGCAATTCGCATCAATTCAAGCCGAGCTGTCTTTTGCGGTTTCGCGTGCACCTCCGCCGAGGTCGCAAGTACCCAAAAAAAATGGACAGACCATGGGTGGGGGTCAAAGGGGGTCAGAAACCTCTGCAACCTGGTTGGGGTTATTCCCCTACCATCTACGTGCGTGCTCATCGTCGTGTGCTCATCCGTCGTGAATACCGATCGCAAAAAGCTTCTGATCTCAAAATGTGCGACACGGGGTGTTTTCGACAATCATGGGGAAATCGGCGCCCAGACCTGACCCATCTCCAACTGTCCGACATGCGCGCGCTCCATCCACAAGTTGGTCGTCTGGCATGTGATTCTGCTCCTCTCCGTCACTGCTTCCGGCCAGTCCTGGCCCAACTCCGTCCCTCCCCCACACTGAGACTCGTGTCGTGTGGCCTCCCAGTCGCCGCGTCAGGTGACAGACCCAAGCGGAGCCCCATCCTCAGCTGCAAGTCTCCAACACCTGCCGCATGATGCCCTCTCCCCCGGATTATTTGGTCGATGCTTGCATGTGAAAGTCGTCTAGAACCAGCGATGAATCTGGGGTAAACTGCCGTCGGGACAGGCGCCTGTCATCATTCATGGATGGGAGATCACATGACGGGATTAACGGCGAGCGCTAGCTTGAAGCCGGCTTGCAAGACTTGGCCTTGCCCTAGAGAGCCCTCTCTTCGGTGTACTGAATCACTGTTGCGCGACCTATCGAATTGGATGAGTGCTGCAGAGCGACAGACAGATCACGACTCTTTGGCCCTTGTTGTTTACCTGGACGGAGATGATGCAGCTGCGCAACCGGCTGACGCCAGCAAAGATTCCTGCCACATGTCAAATCCCTGTTTCCGTGCCCGTATTTGAGGACATGCCATGTTCTTTCGTGCCTGCCACATCTCCTGCTATGGAAGTTTCTTGATTTCAGCAGCGAGCGGTTTCTTCCTAGGCATGTCCAAGTTCTATCTGCTCTCCCTAATATTGGTTCCTTCAATTCGAATCTTTGTCATGGCTGCACTTGTCAATCAATCTCCAATGCCATGGCTTGCTCCAGTTTTGGCGTGGTTCGCAGTGCTGCGATGCTCAAGCAACCAAGGCTACTCGTCTGGTCAAAGTCCAGGGACGGCGAAAAAATTCCTTCATAAAGCCAAAGAGGCCGCGGACGGAGAGTGTGAAGCTGGGCAATCGCATACATCTTTGTTGCTGGTGCCATTGCCCCTTCGAGGATGATGTCACCGTGCGACGACCAATCGCGGCTCAGCCTGCAGATTTGGATGCGTTTCCTCCCCAAAACTACAAACCCCAACTGTATCGCAAACCACTGGCCAATTCTTTCTCCGCCATGACACACACATCATCAGGCTTACGGGGAACCTAAAACCTAGGAGCCATTATGAAAGGCCTCGCTACTATCGTCTTCCTGGCATCAACGTCCCTCGTCGCCAGCCAGCTCATCCGCACCCCTCATCTCGATACTCGACAACCCCCGCAGCACCGTGACCAGAAACCCCTCAACATGCCCGTGGTTCCGCCCTCCAACCCTTCGGATCCGCACCCTCCTTCCGGACAGGGGAGTGTCATTCTCTCCGATGTTCTGAATCGAGATAAAAGCATCAATATTTTTGCAGGATTTACGCATGACATTGAAACAGCTGCCATTCGTCTTGATGATTCAGGCAAGAATACAACAATCCTTGCGCCCCTCAACTCCGCAGTCGAAGCCCTCCCGCGCAAGCCCTGGGAGGACCCTGAAGATTACAACAGACTAGGCACAGATGCCTACGTCGGCGACGATGGTCAGGAGAGGGCTTCACGGAATCTGCGGCGCTTCGTTGAAGCGCACTTGGTCCCTGTAAGCCCCTGGCAGGAAAACCAGAAGGCCCGCACAATCGGCGGCGATGGCGAGGTTTGGTGGGAGAACAAGGACGGCACCAAATTTGTACGTCTCAAGCCTTCTACAACCGAAAATGAGGCCCAAACTCATGTAACGACAGATTCAACCGGGCAATATTGAGGTTGTCAGCATCGCAAGCACTGTCGCCAATGGCGAAGTGGTGAGCAAACCCCCTTACGATGTATTGTGGTTCAGGCTGCGTTGACACTCTGAATAGTGGATAATCAAAGGCGTCCGGAACTACGCTTTGTAAGAACTCTGCGGGCTGGGTAGGTGTCAGTATCCAACGAACCCGACAATCGGATTGCAATAGGATACCCACACAATCGATAATGATTGATGAACCATGATCAACGAATGACCTGTCTCGAATCACTGTGACATTGTAAACAAATTGCTGTTCGACAAATTCAAATACTTCCTACTACTGTAGCGGTTCAATGGCCATTCTCGGCACTCCAACTCGTATTGAACTTACTCTACTAGAACAAAATCTCATATTTCGTGTCACTAACAAGGCTGTCAAATCGCTTCACATCA